CCTTAGAGTGTACGTGGGTTTCATGTCATCTGGAAATGGAGTAAATACGACAGTGCTTGTGCAGCACGTCCCACTTATTCAGCGGGCGTCTTATTTACTCCATTCCAGATGACATGAAACCACGACCCTTCTCCCCCTCGCTGGGGTCGGCGGCACGGGGCGTAGCCCTTACAATATCCCTATGTAATCCCTGACGAGGTGTTTCACAAATTGGCGCAGTAACTGAGCTCGAAGTCTATCCACTGCCATGAACGTATTTAGCAGAATAGCTGAATAGCCATGATGTCAGACAGCCCAGTGGGATTTCCAGCTGCAAATCCCTATGGATCCACATACCTTCTCAGAGGGTAATTGGAGACTATTTATGCAGGTGCCAGGAGGGTCCAATTGCTTTCTGAGAAGGTGGCAGTGGATCCATAGGGAATGTATGGCCGCAACCTCCGTCATCTGAACGCCCCAATCGGTCCGGGGGGAAGCAGGGTGTCTGTGGCGATCGAATTGTCCGTTTCCTCCATTTCAACCCGGGCTGTTCTGTATTTCTCGTGCCGGGTCGGGTAGTTGACCTGAACAGCCACAGTTTGTGGTGAAACTCCAAGTTTGAACCCTGTGGGAATTAGATGGAACATGTATAAATCCTCATGAATCCTCTTAGATGGAAGATGCATATATGCAATGCATGTGGACTATGTAGTTGGAACATCTTGGGACTGTCGACAGAGAGCTGCTGTTCCTGCTGTTCGATCTGGGCGCATGTGGCATCCCGACGTTCGTCTCCCTCTTTGGCCGACTCCCAAAAAAGACACCGTCCCATCCCATCCCATCCCATCTGACTGCAACTTCGAAGAATCCCATCCCACAAGGCTTGGCCACATGCCTCCTCTCTCTTCCACCGACCCGTTCGAGCCGTGACCCCTTCGGACCGTCCCCATCGTCTCCAAGCCACTGCAGGTTGAAGGTCGATTCTCCACCTGGCCGCGTCCAGGAACCCAAGCCTCCTCCATGTGCCGAGGAGGGTCGCCCAGGAAGGAGAGTAGGGGGGTTGTGTGTGGAAGTTAGTTGTGCATCCTCCAATGAGATACATCTAAAACGTTTTATTGAGGGGGAGGTATCCCACGGATATTGGAACGACCATTGTGTAAGTTGTGTAAGATGTGGGGAAAGAATTCATCACCTACCAGGACCAGTCCTGGCTTGGAGTTACCCAGCCCTATACGATCGATGTCCAAAAACAGAACACCCAGACTGGATGGTCCAGGTAGATCGGATCGGGGAATGGAGGACTTTTGATGACTGTTATGATTTTAGATCGGATCTTACCACTTCTCACTTCTGAGATTCTGGGCTTCCACGTGAAACATCACCACTCGGCCACCACCTGGTGTCACTCCGCATGAGCGGAACATGGCTCCTTACCTTCACTCCATCTGGAAAACAAAAGGCCCTGCTGAAAACACGCCGGAACCTAGATGCGCCAAGATGTCACAACCTGGGCGTGCCCCAAAAAAAGGGAGACCTCCAAACACATCATTCTACGGTCTTCCGAGCGCCTGAGTGAGGTGGGCCTCCCTAATACATGTTCACCGCCCCCAATCAAAGTCTCCGACCCCCCCGTGAGGAGGGTCTTCCGAGCCCTTGAGGAGGGTCTCCCTATGGAGCATTCCCCGAAAACCCTCGCAGGGTCCGCGCCTTCCGTCAAGGCCGGCGTCTTCGCTTCGCCCGTGACGCAGTTGCTCAGCCCCTCCGAGAGCCAGTCGCGCAGCTCGGTCAGCGCCGCCAGCACCGGCCAGGCATCCGCCGCATCGGCCAGGTCCGTCATCCGGGAAGGGAGAGGCCGACCCGCGGGGGTTCTGATGGGTTCTGATGGGTTCTTTGGGATCCGTTTTGTGGGTTGGGAGGCTTCTGCTTCGGGGTAGGGGGGGGTGAGGTAAGGAGTCAACACAACAGGGCCAGAAGCGATGTGTGTGTGTGTCATGTATTATTAGGGTTGACGAATTTCCAGAAAGGTGTGCGTGGATGTTATTCTGGTGGACTGGCTCCTTGAACTAATGAAGTACAGCTGCTAGCGGCCAAGACTGAGACTAAGGTGTGTTTTAGGCTGCATATGCCCAATCTAGGAGCCTCATGAAACCTCGTGGGTCTCTTGTCTCTTCTGTACTCGAAAGCGGCGCAAGAAACGCTGCCGAACAATCGGCTGCAGGAGCCAGGAGTCAGGAGTCAGGCGAGTTACAAAAAACACGGTGGACCAAAAAAACAGCATCAAAACCATCAGATCTGGCAGAACCAGTGTAGCTCTCATCATTTGAGGTTATGTTACGTTGTTACTATAGCTGTAGCTTAGACGACGACGTACTGTGGATCAATACCTCTTGTTAAAAAAAAAAACGGTAAAAAATACAAATGACTCTTAGTACTTCAAAACTCCTGCTGCTGCCCAAACGAAACGTTTCTGCAAACACTCTCCAAGTCTGTCTCTTGGAAACCGCCAAAAGGCTGAAAAAAGAGAAAGAAAAAGCGGTTTCTTCGTGGGATTGTCCGCCTACTATGCAGATGTAAAATACTCCAGCGGTGTGTCGTTCATGGCCTTTGTTCAAACGAAGAACATCTCGTCGCCCGGTCGGAGGCGGAAATCCGCTCTCGCCCGAGTCGTTTAGGCTTTCCGTTGAACCGTTGTCCATCGTTCTACAGAGCAAAGGTGTGGTGGATTGCGGCAAAAATCCCTCAAAAACCTCTGGTCTACGGTATTATATAAGGTATCCCATATCATCACAGTGACTTTCCCGAACCAAGCACCAAGCACCAACCGTGTCACTTTTCCCGGAGACTGTGTCACCAAGGAGAAAGGAACACCTTGAAGGTGGTGCCGTTGAGGATGATAATTAGGCTAATAATAAGGTTGCCCCGTATCCACTCACTTAGAGACCAAAACCTTTCCTTTGGCACTGCTGGGTCTATCTCAATCGCATTCCCAACCGCCCCCCCCAGTGGCCTCATCTAATATCTGCCTCGCCCGCCAACACATCTGCGCCTGGATCGTTTATCGGATCTGCCCCAAACTGGTGAGTACATGGCGTGAGCACCTGCCATGTTGAAGGGTAAAATGGTTAAAGCATGTTAAAACAAAGCATTTGATATCATTTGATGTACTGCCGGGGGGAGGATCACCCAAAGAGCCGGTAAGCACATACTTCAAGAAGCTTCACACCAGCCACTCGTTGGCTAATGCGATCTTGACACATGACGTACAGCAAAGAACGAACCTGTGTCATGTGGCACATGTGACTTAGTCTGTGCTTTCTTTTCTACCAGCTTCACTGGTGTTTCACCAGTCGACGTTCGCTTTTGAGGCGTCACTCTCGAGGCCGCCCCACAGCTCCTGAAGAATGGAGTTGAAGACCATCAGCAAGTTGTCCACGGTGGACGCACAGGGCGCCACCTTGAACCTCGGTAACCGAGTTCGGTGAGGCTCGGTGCCGAACTCGGGATGCATCAGCCGAACACAGTCTCAGGCCCACTGCAATGAGAAAAAACAGCAGAACCAAGACTTCTTTTAGATCTGTGATTCTCTCACAGGTACGTTGGAAAGGGAACATGATGACCATTGGCACTGGTGATATCAAGTGAGAACAAAATACGCGTGAGCCTGCTGCGAACCAGCGTGAACCAGCGTACAAACATTCTTTTCTGGCGTGAAGGTATGTTTAAAATAGACACAATACAATGTTCGGCAATATCTAGGGTTTGTCTGCTTGCACCAACAGTTCTGAGCAACGTAATTATTGCATTTCGGGGAAAGCTACGTGATGTGTTTGGTGGTCTTCTCATACTTGGGAAAAGGTTCAAGCGCTGCTGCCTGCTGCAAGCATGGCGGTGGAGGAGGCTTTGGCTAAGGCAGAAGGAGCATCAATGATGCAAATAGGCATGGGAGAGCTTGGGATATTGATGAATCTAATCATATGCTTTCCATGTTCACTCTTTTGTTGAGCAGCCAAGGGCCCCAAGGCCTTGCTCGAAGACATGCTCAGAAACATCCTGACTGAATAGTCCTCCAGGATATACGTTAAAAGCTATCTTTTGACATCTAGGGCTGATGTCGTAGTTGTTGAAGAAAAGCAAACCAAACCCTGGAAGGTAGTTTTCCAGTGGATGTTCTATTCTCCCGCCGAGTAACATGTGTTAGGAACAATTAGTCAAGAGATATCACAACATGTAAAGAACACCAGGCCTTTGAACAAACGGATTGTTCATGGGTGGAATCTACATCATCCTGAGTAGATCATCTCCAAGATCCGCCTAGTGATCGATGCGGAGAACAGGTCAACTGATTCAAAAACACGAGGTCGGCTGTAGGTGAGCTCTTGGAACACTGGCACCAACCTGTCGTTGCCTTCAACCATACGACATCTAAGGTCTCCACTAGTTGATGGACAAGGTCCTAAAACGAGAGAACATCGCATAACATCGCAGAGAACTCCGCAGGAAGTTTTGCTGGATCCCTGAAACGGGAGAAGGGGGGTCATCAACATGTACCCTCCCTGAAACAATCATGGAAGTGGATGGCATGACCACTTGAAACGCTTGAAAGACGATGAAATCAGAACACCGAACAGGGCACTGGCCACTTCCATGTTTGTTGGAGGAGAGGTATACCGGTATACCGTCTACCTATACATCTAGCGTCATCTAGCCATACATCTGGCCCAGGCCGAGAGACGCTCCGCCATAGAGCAGGTTCGGGGTCAAGGACAAAAACCTTCCACAGCTGGGAGTGGAAATAAAAACAACTGGTGGTCCTACTAGGTGGTTCTACTGGTGGCTTAGATTTTGCTGGCAAAGTGTTGCACCAATTCAGGAACAACCAAAGACAAAGTGTAGTATGAGTTTAGGATAACATATCAAATAGATTGACAGAATTCAGGGCATTGGTCTGCTGATGCTTTATCTGAAGAGCTCTTCACCGAAACCAGCTTTCCAAAATCCTACTGGGTCCTTTGTCCAGCTCCACATCTAGAACCATCACTGTCTACAAGTCGCAAATATATACCTGGGAAAGGACTTTCAGAGATTAAACCTGATCAAAGCAGGTACAGTACATATGTCCCAACTGTTGCTGTTTTCAGTCCTACTGTTTTTATTTCACCACATTGGTGATGACTTTAAGGGAGCAGTCTACAACATCTTCCAGTCTTTGCCCAAGGTTCCTGTCTACGGTTTCTTGGCCCCCCAAAAAAACCTTTGCCCAGAATGTCCTGCCTGTCCAAGAAAGCAACCACCAGCATCCGTCCGGGGACGAGAAAAAACACCACGGCCAGCGCTGGCTGCACCAAAGTTGGCCAGTAAAGAATCGGCGGCAGCTATTTCAAACTATACTCCATGGCACTGGAATATTTATATACATCTTATATCATATTGTTGTTTTTATATATTTAGGCTATAGGCCTACATTCACCCCCCCGAGTTCCCCCACTGATCGGTAACTTGCGTCAGTGCCATGGAGCGTCAGTGCCATGGGTCGAGCAGGCATCCCTGAAGAACAGGGAGCATCAAGTGGTCAGCATGCAACTTCTACGTCCGCGTCGAAGAGAACCTTCATCCCTTCATCCACGGCTGCCCAGGAGCAAATTAAAGAGGACAATGTTGGCGGACGCCCAGACCAGGAACATGATGAGGAAAGAACCTGCGTGGCCCATTCGCGCCGTGGTTGCCATTTCACCACTCCTGATGCACTAAACAGCCCTATGACTCGATCACACTAAACCCCTAGGCCCTAGGTAGGCCACCCGCCAACAACAGCGGCCTATGTTCTCTTTTGATTAGTATGTTAGTATGTGTATCGCAGCATGCTTTATCACTCCACAAGCGGCTAACGGCTAACAAAGCTGTAAATGGTAAAACTTGCAGGATTGGTTCAACTGAACAAGTGGGTGAAGAAAAAAAACAAGCACATACCCTCTCCTCAGATGCACCACAGAAACCACGATGGTGATGGTGTTTTAGGAGAAAACGATCATCGACCTTCGGTCGTATCCGACCAAACTCTCAGCATCCACGGGATTTTTTCCGGGAGCGTTTTCATGCTTTTGATCTATTGAATCTATTGAAGTGGATATACAAGAGGACCAGTCACTCCAAGACGTTGAGGGTCGATCAAAAGGAACCGGGGTCTTGGGCGGGCGACCAACAAACCCGGCCGTCTGCTGGAAGAACAAGCATCACCCCAAACTCACCCGTTCTGTCCCTTTCTCGGAAGCCTTTTGCGGAAGTGCAGGGCTTTTGCCGCGGGGAAAAACGGACGGATGGCTTCAGCGCTTCTCCACGGTGGGACGATTTGGCCGGACCAGCGCTTCAGGCGTTTCGGTAGCTTCATGTAGCTTCCTCTCTTGGAGGTCAAACATGAATTCAAGGGCATCGCCGGCACTAAGAGCGATCGAACGCTACGATCGGGGTTCCTGGTCGTACTACGAACGGAGCGATCGAACGCTACTAGTTCTATCCAGTTCTCCCCGAACAGACCGGTCTCGTGTGGATCGTTGGAGCCCGGATCGGTGGATCACGGTCCGTGTCGAAGAAGAACTTGAAGAACGGTCCAGAAATCCACATCAAAGCAAATGAGAACACATGAAGTCTTGACACCAGGGTAAAGGGACTCTGCATTTTGAGGTCTTTCCCCACCCAAGAGCCTATAAGAAGGCAAATAATGCCAAATGCTCAGCTCACATTCCAAGGATTCAATGGTGTTCTTGCGAACCCTCATCCAATTTGACCCCTGTTCAAATGGTCAACCAAGGAACTCGATGGGTTCACAACTAAAACCAGTGAGACCGCTGGATGTTGCACTAGAGTATGTCACGGCATGTCACGGCCTTTCCATGGCCCTTAATTCCAGCAAATTGTATCCATCATTTCAACAAATTGCGTTGACTGCGATATTGATTTGTATTGATTAATTTTGACATTCACGGGCCGGGATGTTTGCCATGCAAACCCATATTACATAAGCAGGCAGGACACGTTAAGAACAAAAAAACATATTACACCAACGTCATCCTCTCAATGTTCGAGCATCCATTCAAGTAGAGTAAGTAAGTACAGTGCAGTAAGTAGAGATCCACAATCCATGATTCTCAGCCGATCACTGACATTCCACTAGAACATCATGTTCCACAGCTTCCTTACATCGTTGTAAAGTTGTAGCATCCATTGAGCAAACTTCTTTGATGTGAATCGCCCCCCATCTTTGAGCAAGTTTCCAAAACCAAGGTTGCCGGGATGATACTACTCGCCGCAAGAAGCAGCGAAACGACCTTCCAGTCCTTCATTGCAGAGTTGCCACACGTCCCCAAAGGTCCCAAATGGAGAAACACTCGCATCTGCCAAAGACGGCAATCCTGGCTACCACTATGCTAGGCGGCCAGGTATTGGACTGTGAGAGACTCAATAGATATTCAATGGCACAAAGGACAGGGTTCAAAACCCCAGTAGCTCATTTGGCTTTCAAGGAAGGAACCGGTTGTTCCGACCCTTAAAACTGTCCCTATCGCCCATGTTTCATGGGGAGTAGAAAACTACTCCTCCCCTGGTAGGTCGACCTCTACCTTGGGAGCCCAACTGCTGCGAAGCCAGGAGTGCCCAGGGTGAAAACTGAAGCGGCGACGCGCTAGAGTCGCCTCAGAGTGGTGCCTGCGGAGGGATGCGGATGCGGAGGGGCACTAAGGGAACCATGAACCATAAGTCTAAGTTTTGGGTGATGTTCTGTGAGAATCACTGAGATTGAAAAGCCATAATGATCCTGCGTATGTCTAGTTTGTAGATTCTAGCAGATTCACTGCCACTAGTGATAGTGTCTAATACGAGGTTAAGACTGGGGTCCAGGCACTTCGCTTCATTGTGGTACATGATGCATTTGGGCGGGTGCTTCAACCAATGGTTTTTCAAACACCATGGATCCAGAAGCAACGGCACATACCTGGCATGATTCTTAGATCTGTCTCACCAAGAAGGCCCCCAAAAGCGTTGGTCCCCCCCCACAGTTGGGAGATAAATCTTCCCATGCACATGTCACATGTCCAAAGAAATGTTTGCCTTCCTGGAACTACCCACACTACTTTGAGATGTCGGACACCCATTGGATGCTCCAGGTTGGTTGCTGTCTCCGGATGAATGCGCGGTCGGCGCGCCAGGTGCCGGCCTTGATTGGGCGCACAGCCTCTCAAGGCCTTCAGGCTGCAGAAGGAGGGCTTCCATTGGGAGAGGGACGAGCAGAAATTCAGGGAGATTGATTGAGACTATCAGGTGATCTTCTCCAGCATGTGGATAATCGTGGAAGCCAAAATTGGCCGAATTCGATCAACTTCTCCCACTGATCTCTGCCATGCCCATCAGCATCAGCATCAGCATCTTGAAATTTTGTCCTGAAAGCACAAATGTGCATTGAAGCGACTTGAAGGGACAGTCGCTCAAAAAAGAGCCCTATTCAGCCCTGATCCTGGCATCTGTCACTGTTAGTGCATACTGAGTCTACTGGATAGTTGATGGGGCAACATGAACAATGGATGCTCATAATCTCTACTAAACCAGACCAAGAACACTTCTGAAACCTACTAACACTGGGCATGGGATGGAATTCACGGATGAGCCGCCCAGTCATTGATTCTATAGGACTTCCATTGTTCTGCTTGTGATATCTGTAAAGTTCCTGTACAGTGATCCATGGGGCCGTGGTGTCATGTTGGTTTCAGCAATGACCAAGCGGGGCAAAACACACCAACCATTCCTGTTACAGTGTTTTCAGAGGCTCGATGGCACAAACCCGTAGATGTCCTTCAGATGGGGGTCCATATGAACCACCAAACTTGGGGACCCTAGTGCCATCTACTCTGAAACCACTGGAAGTTTTATCCAATCTATACCTGTAAAGTAGATGGCACGGCCCTGGGTTGGCATGAGGAATTGCCCGGGCTCGCGAAGCCAACTATAGAGGCAAAGGTGCTTGTGCCATGTCCTCTGTACTTCTATCTACTCATGTCCTCTCCGTTCCTCTCCCTCTGCAAAGATCTCACAGAATTGATTTTGCCAGGCTCTTGGCACCCCCACTCCTCCACGTTTCCATCATCACATGCTTCCATGGTCACCCTCCCTGCATCAGTCGCCTCGCCTCTCACACCGCTTCTTGCCCCTCCCGCCTTCGCCGCCTTCGCCGCATTCGCCTTCGCCGCTCGCGCCGCTCGGGCCGTGCCTCGGCGGCTGCAGCACTCCCGGCCTTCACGATGTAGACCGCCTGGTTGAAAGGGGCGAACCGCCAGACACTCGAGCCGCACGGTTCGCCCTTGGACGTGACATGCATGGATCAAGGTGACCGAAGGTGACCGAAGTCGACTATCACCGACGCAAACATGGGAGATGGATAGAGATGGCATCCAAAGAACTCTGGTCTTGACCAAACAACCTCCTTCCATCCATTTCCATCCTCGCAACCGGTATATGCTCCCCTTTCATGCAGTCCCCATGTCCCCATGCTCTCACGCCTGAGTTTTTCCACCTGACCTTGAGAAAACGCAATTTTTCACCAGAAACATGGCTTCTCATTCAGTGAACACTCACTGACCCCCCCCCAAAAAAAGAAAGCCGCTTCAAAACGACGTGAACTTCACCCTCGTGAGGACGGTCTCCGTCGTCACGCCTGGACACTGGGGGGCGCCCCTCAAGACGTCGGCCGCACTTTCCAGCTTGGCCTCGAGTCTGTCGAGCTGCCACACTCGAGGTGCTTGATGGGTGCGGCATACAATTGCGGAGGCGGCATGGGGTGCAGATGCGGGCAGAACCGGCGGGTTGGGGTCGGTGAGTTGGGGGAGTTGTAGGACTCTGTTTCATCCTGGGACTTGGTTGGGTGTGTGTTAGAAATGAGAATTAGGATGATTCGCAGGGGGTGTTTGAACAGCTTGGATAATTTCCAGCGTAGATTGTTTAGGGATCTTTAACTCGTTTTGGACTTTGCGATAGCCGAAGCAGGAGGGCGAACGCAGGAATATCTGGCTTCGAATTCTGCTAGACCTGCAGCTTGAGCCCTGGGATCTTTAACCAAGAAATAACTGTTTGGTCCACCGGGGTTGGTCCACTCCTTTTCCTCCAACACTTGTGGTGACCGGTCACCTGACTCAGCTCTGGAAAGAGCTGACTGAGAGGTCTTGTCTGAAAAAAGAAACTGCACCTCCATGTAGAACTGCAAAAAAACGCACAGAACGTGTATATGAATAACATTTTGAATGTTTACTTGCAATATTCAAGATGATCAATGATAAACTAACATTGAACTGTTGGATTTACAACACCTTTGTCAACATCAGGGTGTCTATGTAAGGTTCTATAATGTTCTATATACTCATCCTAAGAGTGATGGAAGGAGATGACTTCTTTCTGTGTCTGCTGGATCCAGGGTATTATCAGTGTATCATGTTTCTATTGTTGCGGCTGGCTTCTGCAGGGCACACTCCGACTCACGTTGCATGGAAATGGAAGTGGATGGCATGGCCCTTTGGATGACCATTTTCAATCCTCTACAAACACGGGACTCTCTCCACTTCCATGCAAAGTGAGTTGGAGTGTATCGAACACCCAAAACCGCCCGGAACGTGCACCTTGAGGCCACCAGTCACATCGTGAGAGGCCGTGTTCATGGAC